TTTGGCTTATTGTAAATCAACAGCTGGTCTATTAAGACTTAGGGTGAGATCTTAAGAAATACTCTTCCAGTGAATTCTAAATTATTAATTAATCTGATAATAGGGACAAAACTTCACAATATCTCTCTAGTAGAGGGACACATAATCTTCTAGAGTGATATGTCTTATAAAGAACAGTAAGAACTATTGACAGAGAGCTGTATTGTCCTCACCAGATATCTTTCATCCAGCTGAAGTGATAAAAGAAGGAAAATCAGCTAAGATAAAAGAATGAATTTTTCTTTTTCCTTAGCCCACTATTCACAGAGGTAAATGTTCAAGTCTCCAAGGTACAGCCAAGGGTTGCTCTATGGAAAAAAAACTGTGAGCATAAAGCAAAAGCTAGTCCTAATAACAGCATCATTTTCTACTGGAAAGTCACCAAGAGTGGAGGAAATGACCCGATTTGATAGGTCTTTCTCAAGAAAATGCTGAAGCTGCAGCAGAGACAATTGCCAACAGTGAAGCTGTCATTTCACTCCCAAGATTAGCCTTGATGCAGAGAATGGATCGGTATGGATTGCCCTGCTCTAAAAGGTCACTGGACAAACTTCACAAGTCATCTGTTGTTCTCCAGGGTGACAACCAGCCTGCCATTCTGAGTAGTCTTTAAAGAGTTCAGAAAGCCTTTTTTCCCAAGCCCTTCATGGGGATGTTCATCTCTTCTCTGTGGTGCTGAGAGCCATGATCTTGCCTATGTCCTGAGAAGCAAAATGGTCTACTTTAGTGAGTGATGAACCAGGTGCCAGTTAACTGTGAGGGCATGCTCTGTACATGAAGGCAGAACTTATGTCCTAGTATGTGAAAACAAGCGCTCAAAGCATGTTGAAGCAGAGCTTCCATCAGCAATTGGACATTTTCTTAGATATATACACGTATATAGAATGTTCTAATGAAAGGAAAAATCCACTAAAGGGATGTTAAGATATAGCCTAAGTTATAAACTATGGTTTGTATCACAAAGCAATCAAGTATGTGGCTCACCTTTGGTTTTACGGTGCAAAACTGTATCCTCAGCTGGACATATTATTTAAATATACCTATTTGTGCTTCTCTGTAAGATGTGATATTATGGATATAAACTCCCACTCCCACTGGGAGTTTATATTTCTAAGGAAAATAACACAATGATAGAGTCAAATAAATGGAACATTTTATCAAAGCAAAGAGGATCTAGAAATGATTAGACTCATTTTCATCTTTTAAAAAAAAAGTTCTATAGAACAAAATGTCAACATTTTAATGTAAACTTGAAGTGTCAGTCTCTTAAGACTTAAGTAAAGACACACATAGAAAAACAATCTACTGCTGAAAATAGTCTTAAATTCCAATTTGGCTTTCATACACGGTCTGTGGATTGAGCCCAGCAGAAATAGTTCCTGCCCAACTGCTGTACACAACTGATTTGCACTAACAAAATATGGTATTTCTAATGTAGCAACAACAAATATAAGGAGATGGATTGAATTTTGATGGAAAATAAAAACTCAGAAATAAGGATCTGTAGAACTCTGGTTCTGACATTAACTCAGCTTTTTCCTCCACTGATCACTAATCATGGAAATACTATCATTTTAAAGGTCACAAAGAGCTTTCTGAACATATTATAACAAAAAAATCAAATATAAGCACAGACTGACCAGATAGGCTTTTATCTTTGAAAGCGTGCTTCTATAACTTGAAGAAAAAACTTTGTTTTAAAATAAACACATATTCAAATGCCAGCTTCATTAGTGTGATGACCTGTAAAATGTGGTATACATCCCACTTCTACCGAGCTGGGTACATGGTGTTTGAATACGCGTCCTCATTACATTCTCATCAAAATGAGAGTGAAGAAAGAACACTTGGTTGCTGTCAAAACATTTTCCTTGCAGAAGATGACTCATATGCTGATATTTGGACTTCTTTTATGTGAAATATACAGTGTGTGGTATTTGAACAGGCTACAAAAGCAACATACAGCAAGTTGGTTACTGGAGCAGCAATCCCAGCCCCAAGTGTATCCAACTGCAGCTGTATAATCTTTTTCATCCCATGTGGGAAGCAACCCACTACATTGTCCTCAGGAGAGCCACCTATGCCTATGCCCTGACTTGGTTTCATTCCTGTTGTTGAAACAGCCATTTGCCCTACTCCCATCCAGAAGGATGACAGCTACTTTAAAATCCCCATTTACCCAGGCTAGGGTGGTAAAACAAGAGAGATGAGAAGAGCACCAAAGAACCCATGGAAGATATCTTCTTAATGTTCTTCTCATCTGCAGAAATACTAGGGGGAAAGGATTTGGCTAGGTTTCCTGGAATCTGCCATAGTAAAGACAGTCAAGATTCCACCTCTCATGTTTTATTTTTCCAATTACCAACAAGTAATCCTCATCAAATTGACTCTGGTTCTAGACAACCCCATGTATGACAAAGCAGAACTATGCTCTGTACGGTTGTTCAAAGGATTACTTTTAGAAAGAGACTACTAGCCTTCCTTCCCACTTCTGGATGGATTTGATCTGCTAATCTGTTTTTGCTTTTATAAAACAAAGATATAGATGTTGTTGTTATGTGCTGTCAAGTTGCTTGCAACTCATAGCAACCCTATGTACAATAGCCCTAAACTCTGCTCTGTCCTGTGCCAAATGAACTGTCTCCAATACACCCATCCCGATTACCCCAGTCACTGAATCAATCCACTTCATAGAGGGCCTTCCCCTCCTGCACTGTCCATACACTCTACCAAGCATGATATCCCTCTCTAAAGACAGATCCCTCCTTACAACATGTCCAAAGTATGTTAGACGAAGCCTCAGAATCCTTGCCTCCAAGAAACACCCTGCTTTAACCCTCTCCAGGATGAATCTGTTTGTATTCCTAGCAGTCCATGGTACCCTCAGTACTCTTCTCCAGCACCACAGCTCAAAGGAATCAATTCTCCTTCTATCCTCCCTAGTCATTGTCCAACTCTCTGATGCATAACAAGTAATTGCAAGGACCATGGCCTGTATCAGATGTACTTTAGTCTCCAGAGTGACACCATTGCTCTTCAGAACTTTGGAAAGGTCCCTAACAGCAGACTTTCTCATCACAATACAAAGTCATTAATTTCCTGACTCCGGGTGCCAAGAGTGTTGACTGTGGAGCCAAACAAACTAAAGCTGTGAACAATCTCAATCTCTTCACCATCCATCCTGATGCTGCCAATTGGTCCAGTGGTGAGAACCTTTGTCTTCTTGACACTGAGCCTCAATCCATATTGAAGGCTGCAGTCCTTGACCCTCTGCAGCAAGCGCTTCAGGTCCTCCTCAGTTTCAGCAAGCAGGGTTGTGTCATCTGCATAACACAGATTGTTGATAGATCTTCCACCAATCCTGACCCCACATTTCGCCTCATAGAGCCCATCCTCCCGGATAATCTGTTCTGCAGATTGAAAAGGTATGGAGACAGGACACATTCCTGGAGTACGCCCTTCCCAATTTTGAACCATGCACTGTTATCCTGCTCTGTTCTGACTACTGCCTCTTGGTCCAAATATAGGTTTCGCATTAGCACTATTAAGTGTTCTGGGATTCCCATTCTTTTCAGAATCAGCCACGGTTTGTTATGATCCACACAGTCAAATGTCTTTGGCAAGCAGAAATAGATACATACTTTTAATGGAAATATATTTACGCATATTTCAATCTAAAAATACTTTGGTGGCTTAGTGAGTAAGGAGTTGCACTGTCAACCCAAAGGTTGGTCCACTAGCTGTTCTGCATGAGAAAGATGGGCAAGCTCCTTTTGCATGATTTAGAGCCTCTAAAGACCTCTTTTAGTATCAGCCATGAGTTGAAGTTGATTCTAACTCAAAGGCACATACCAACAATCATACATATCTCAAAAGTTTGCTTTATGCAGATGACACAACCTTGTTTGGTGAAAGTGAGGAAGACTTGAAACATTTGCTACAGAAGGTCAAGGACTGCAGCCTTAAATGTAGATTAAAGCTCAACATCACGAAAATGAAGATTCTCACCAGTGGGCCAATTGGCATGACAGAGAGAAGAGATTGAGATTATTAATAGCTTCAGTTTGCTTGGATCCACAATCAACACTTTGGTACTAATAGTCAGAAAATTTTAAAAAAAGAAGAATTTGCATTAGATAACTATACCGTCAGGGACCTCTCCAGAGTACTGAGGAGCAATAATATCAGTCTAGAGACCAAGGTGCACCTGATCCAGGCCACGGACTTTGCAATTACTTGTTATGCATCAGAAAGGTGGAAAATAACTAAGAAGATGACAAAAGAAGAAGTGATGCCTTTGAGCTGTGGTGCTGCAGAAGAGTATTAAATACACATGGACTGCTAAGAGAACAAACAGATCCAACCTGGAGCGAGTGAAACCAAGCTGCTCTTTGGAGGCAAGGATTTTGAGGCTCTATCTCACATACTTCTGGCATATTGCCAGGAGAGACCAATCCTTGGAGAAGGGCACCATGCTTGGAAAAGTAGAGGGAAAATGCAGGAGAAGACCCTGAATGAGATGGATTGACTGAGTGACTGCAGTAACAGAGGGAGGTGTGTCAGAGACAATGAAGTTGGATCAAGATAGGCCAGGGTTCAGAGCTGTTATACATCAGGTTACCATGAATCACAAGTGATTTGATGGCATATAACAACAACACACATATGTGTACACACACACATACACATTTTTTTGCTATTGTTTGCCATAGAGTTGGCAATACCTCATAGCTGACCTTCCAACAGGTTTCCAGAGGCAATAATTGCAAGAGAGCAGAATGCCCAAACTTTTCCTGCAAAGCAGTTTGTGGATTTGAACCACTTGCCTCTGGGATCACAACACAACTTCTTACACTAGGCCACTATATCCATATATAAACACACACAAGAAATCTCCCCTCCAGCCTGCCAGGATGTCAGAGAAACAAAAGAAAAGGAGGAAAAAGCAGCATCCTACTCACTCGTTTTCTGTAACAATGTAGCCGTATTCCTCTTCATCAGAAGATTTGACTTCTAATTGCAGGCCTATGCCTGGGTGCTGTTGCGTTAGTGCCTGAAGGCCTTCATCTTGCTTCAAAGCCCCTGGAACCCAGTTTTGATAATCCCCAAGTGTATCCACACTGGGCTCAGAATTTGGCTTCTTATCAAATAACTCTTTGAAGTAAGTCTGACTCTTGACATTTTCAACTCCGACCTTCTCTTCTTCCGAAGATTCAGGATCCTCTGATTTCTTGATATCTGTTTTAAAGGACTTGGCAAGAGGAAGAGTTTCAGGCAAGTGTTGGGATTTATGTTCCTTCAAGAGATCCCCAAGTTTGCTATTTAAGCGTTTGACCTAGCAGAAAGAAAGAATCATGTAAGATAATGCCTTTAAGAAAGAAGTGTCGACACGCATGAAGCAGAAAATATTTGTGGTAAAGAATCATGCTTAAGGGGTGATTACCAGCAATTTAACATAAAATCAGTTGGTGAAGGCAAAGCTTTTACAATCAATGTTTAAAACTGTGTCTAGAAGAAAAACATTCAAAAACATGGAATATGCAGGTATTATCTTTTAGTAACATTTCAATAGTTCATTCTTTTTCTCCCCTTCCTTATTTTTGTGTCAGTCTGTCTCTGTCTCTCTGTCTCTGTTTGTGTGTGCGTATGTGTGTACACACGTGTGTACAAGCACATGCACACACACCACCTTCTCATAGAATTTGGTTTTGTACAGTCAACCTAAGTCAACTGACACCCATATTTTGAAAAATTCATTCTGGACTGCACTCGAGGATAACCTAACAACAGCAATGATTTAACTCTTCCAAAGTACAAAGGCACTGTACCAATTATTTTATGTGTATTATCTTATGGATACTAAAAATAAACCTATGTGTTAGAAATGGCCTTCTTTTACATGACAGAAAACACTAAGAATGTTAACTTACCTGTGAAAATCTCACAAGGCTTTATAATTGCTACTTCACAATATAAGAAATAATTCAGTCAAATCTTGCAATGCCCAAACCCCATCCTGACACTTATTTCCTGGAAAAGAGGTTCCTTGAAACCACTTGATTGATTCTTTAAAGGAAAAATAAAAACCTCTTAAACCCTCAAATTCTGTTTCCATTTCCTCTCTCAATCTGTATTGTTTTTTCCTTAATTTATTTCTACTCTGCCCTTCCTTCCTTCCTTCCTTCCTTCCTTCCTTCCTTCCTTCCTTCCTTCCTAAAGCTAAGGTGTTAGTTAGCTCTTTCTTCCCTAGTTCTTCAAGATGTAAACTAGGCTACTGATTTTAGATCTTTCTGCTTTTATCAATTAGGTGTTGACCACTACAACTTTCCCTGAGCACTATCCTTACTGCATTCCATAAATTATAGCATGTTGTCCTTTGGTTTTCTTTTTATTATTTGTGTATCTGATTTCTTCCTTGTCTTATTGATTAGATGGTAGTATTTATCTTGATTTTGACTTTTGTTGTTGTTGTTATGTGTCGTCAAGTCGCTTGCAACTCATAGCAACTCTATGTACAACACCTCTAAACTCTGTTCTGTCCTGTGCCCATCTCATTGTCTCTGACACACTCATCCTGGTTGCCCTAATCACCGAATCAATCCACCTCCCAGAGGGCCTTCCCCTCCTGCGCCTGAGCTCCACACTCCCAAGCATGATGTCCTTCTCCAAGGACCGGTCTCTCCTTACAACATGACCAAAGTATGTCAGATAAAGCCCCAGAATCCTTGCCTCCAAGGAGCAGCTTGGTTTAACCCTCTCCAGGTTGAATCTGTTTGTTTTCTTAGCAGTCCATGGTACCCTCAACACTCTTCTCCAACCCCAAAGCTCAAAAGCATCAATTATCCTTCTATCCTCCCTGGTCATTGTCCAGCTCTCTGACGCATAACAAGTGATTGCAAAACCGTGGCCTGTACTAGACGCACCTTAGTCTCCAGAGACACACCGTGGCTCTTCAGTAATTTAGAGAGGTCCCTAACAGCAGACTTTCCCATCATAATATGTCTTTTAATTTCCTCGCTGCTGGTGCCAAGAGTGTTGATTGTGGACCAAGCAGACTAAAACAGTAAACAATCTCAATCTCTTCACCATCCATCCTGATGCTGCCAATTGGTCCAGTGGTGAGAATCATTGTCTTCTTGACACTGAGCCTCAATCCATATTGAAGGCTGCAGTCCTTGACCCTCAGCAGCAAGCACTTCAGATCCTCCTCAGTTTCAGCAAGCAGGGTTGTTTCATTTGCATAACGCAGGTTGTTGATAGCTCTTCCACCAATCTTGACCCCACATTTCTCCTCATAAAGCCCATCCTTCCCAGATAATCTGTTCTGCATACAGGTTGAAAAGGTATGGAGACAGGACACATCCCTGGCACACGCCCTTCCCAATTTTGAACCATGCGGTGTTTCCTTGCTCTGTTCTGACAAATGCCTCTTGGTTCAAGTATAAGTTTCACATTAGCATGATAAAGTGTTCTGGGACTGCCATTCTTCTCAGAGTCAGCCACAGTTTGTTATGGTCCACACAGTCAAACACCTTTGCATAATCAATGAAGCACAGATAGTCATTCCTCTGAACTCCCTGCTTTCAGCCAAGATCCATCTAACATTAGCTACAATATCCCTAGTACCACAGCCCCTTCTAAACCCAGCCAGGACTTCTGGCAGTTCTCTGCTAATGTGCTGTTCCAGTTGTTTTTGGATAATCTTCAGAAGAATCTTGTTTGCATGTGAAAGCAACGATATTGTTCTATAGTTTCCACACTCTGTTGGATCACCTTTCTTTGGAATGGGAACAAATACAGATCTCTTCCAGTCAGTTGGCCAAGTGGTTGTTCTCCCGATTTCTTGGCACAACTTGGTGAGCCTGTCCAGGGCAGCATCTCTTAGATGAAATATGTCAATTGATATACCACCTAATCCTGGGGCCTTATTTTTTGCTAGTTCCTTCAAAGCAGCTTGAACTTCCTCCTACTCCATAGGCTCTTGCTCATATGTTGTTTCATTAAATTCTTCTGTGTCTGTCAATTAATTCCTTTTGATACAATGACTCAGTATATTCTTTCCATCTTCTTTTGATAAACACAGGTTATACACATGGATCTCACCTGATGGTATGCATAGGAATCAGATCGATTACATCTGGGGAAGGAACTGTTGGAGAAGAAGCTCAATATCAGCTGTAAAAACTAGGCCCGGAGCTGATTGTGGAACAGACCACCAACTACTCATATGCAAGTTCAAGCTGAAGCTGTGGAAAATTAAACAGAATCCATGGGAACCAAAATATAACTTTGAGTCTATCCCATCTAAATATCAGAACCATCTCAAGAACAGGTTTGAGGCCTTGAACACGAATGAGCAAAGACCAGATGAGTTGTGGGAGGATATCAAGGGCATCTTCCAAGATGAGTGCAAACATTCATTACAAAGACAGAAGAGGAAGAAAAGACCAAAATGTATGTCAGAAGAAACTCTGAATATTGCACTGGAGCACAGAGAGGCCAAAGGACAAGGAAGAATTCAAGATACTAAAGAGCTGAACAGAGGATTTCAAAAAGCAGCATGGGATGAGAAAATATTACAATGAAATGGGCAAGGAGCTGGAGTAGAAAACCAAAAGGGTCGGACTCACTCAGCATTTCTTAAGCTCAAGGAACTGAAGAACAAATTCATACCTTGAGTTGCTATAATCAAGGATGCTTTAGGATTCCCACATACTTACTTACAATCCAATTTTCCTTCTGTTTTTAATGTGAATTTTAATTTCATTGTAGCCAGAAACAAGGTATGGAATATAGTCAGTTCTTGGGAACTCTGGCAGCCTAGTGAATAATTTGAATCCACCAGTTTCTCTAAGGAAAAAAATGGGAATTCTCCTCCTGTGCGATTTTCAGTCTTTGAAAACCCACAGGGGAGTCATCTATGTGTTGATTTCTACTCAATGACAATTAAAAATAAAGTCAATCCTTTAGAATGGTTCACTGAAGAAGAATGTGTATTGTTAGGTGTAATCTTCCATACATTTCTGGCAGGTTAAGGTGGTCTGCAATAGTCTTAAAATCCTCTACTTTTTTTTTTTATATCTTCTTTCCTGACAGTCTGTCCATTATTGAAAGCTGTGTATTTATATTCCAACTTCACTTTTGTCAATTTTCACTTCATGAATTTTGGACTCTGATTTAAGGGATAGATAGAGGATAGATAGATAGATAGATAGATAGATAGATAGATAGATAGATAGATAGATAGATATAAGATTTAAGATAGCTGCAATCATGTGTCAATACACCTGGCTAACGGTCTTTCTCCCTTCTGCTGATCCCCCATCTTTCCAAACATGATTCTCTCTAAGGAAGTGCCTCTAGTAATATGGCTAAAGTGTGTGAAACCAGGCTTTATCATCTTTGCCTCCAAGGAGCACTCTGGCTGTACTTTCTCCAAGACATAACGGTTTATTCTTTTAACTGTCTATGGGATCTTCAGTACTCTTCTCCAATAACACAACTCAAAGTCATCAATTATTCTTCTGTCATTTTTATTCATGGTCCAGCTTACAGATGCACAGCAAGTAAACAAAAAGAGCATGACCTGAACCGGGCACACCTTAGTCCTCAAACTGACATCTTTGCTCCTCAATAATTTGGAGACTGCAGCCTTTCCCAGTGTAATACATCTCGTCTCCTGACTGCTTGTACCAAGAGTGTTAATTGTGGATCCAAGTAATATGAAGTTGTTGACAGTTTTAATCTTTGCTCTATCTACTGTGATATACCTATTAAAAAAGGAACCAGTTTGACAGTTCCTTCATCTCCCAAGTGTGTTTGCATGTGTGTCTTATACCTCTCTGTCAATTCTTTCTTCTAAACTGTTCTCTTCTGTGCTTTGTTGAGTTTCTGAGGTGGTAACTATTTTGATTGTCATGTCTTTTCCCTGTGTGTATGCTTTTTTAAGATATTTTATTTGTGGTTATGATGAAGATGACAACATTATAACACCTTAGTTTAAACTGAAAACACCTACAACATTGTACTCCAGTAAAACATGTAACCCTACGCTACCTCATCCCCCTTCTACCTCGCTTTAGTAGCTGCTATTTTATATTACATTTTCATCTTCATAGAAGATAGGCACCATATCATAAGTTTAGAACTATATTTATGTATTTGTCTTTTTTTAAATAACAGGACATAACTACTAAAGTCACTAACCGAAAAGAACTGGTTCTTCTTATTTTTTATATTCTTTTTTGTTGTTGTTTAAATTTTATTATATTTTGTGTATGTGTACTACCAAATTGGATCTGACTGCTACAGGAGGAGATTGCCCCTCCTTCTCCAGAAGAACAACTGGTGGACTCGAACCATACCTCTGGGATTGCAGTGCAGCTTCTTGTCACTAGGACTTCTAACTTTTTTTATCAGAATCTTTCTTTTCTGTATATGTTTAATGTCCTCTCAGTGTTACCTTAAGAACTCCCTTCAGTATTTCTTCAATTGTCTAGTCATAAACTCTTACTTTTTATTCATCTGGGAATATCATCCCTTTTGTCTTCCAGTCTCTAAGAATTCTGAGGAGAAATATAAATGGAATCACTTGTGTGTGACATTTCTCTTCTCTCTTGTTGCTTTCAGAATTCATTGAGAGTTTAACTGTAAGGTGGGTTGATACTAATAAATTTTATTTTTTTCTATTGGAAATTCATTGAGTTTCTTTTATTTGTAGATTCGTGTCCTTTGTAAACATGGAACATATTCTAGCACTTTTCTAATATTGTTATTGATGTTCTTGTTCTCTTTGTCTCTTCTCCTTGTGAGGTTCTCAAGATGCCTAAGTGAGTTTGCTTGTTGGTGTCCTCCAATTCTATTAGGCTTTTCTTAGCTTTCTTAATCCTCTTTTTGTCTCCTCTTTACACACTCAACAATGTTTATGATCACATCCTCTAATTCAATGATTCTTTCTTCCACCAGTTTAAATTTACTTTGGGTCTCTCCAGAGAATTTATTTCAGCCTATATATATTTTTATTTTTGTATAATTGGTAAATCAATAGGTAAGCACTTGGCTGCTAAATGAAAATTAGCAGTTTGAATCCATTCAGTGGTTCTATGTGCAAAAGGCCTGGAAATATGCTTCTAGAAAGATGATGGCCAAGAAAACCCTATGAACCAATTCTACTCTATCACAGAGGAGAATTATGAAATGAGGTAGATTTGGAAGTACTTAAGAACAACTTTTTTATTTATTGTGTGCACAGTTTTTCTAATTTCCTTTAGTACACTGTCCAGTTTTCCCCTTATATTTTATTTTGACTATGATTAGTATCTTCAAAAAAGGAGTGAAAACTCCTTAAAATCTTTCTTATTTGGGCTTCCATAAAATCAATACTTCTCCTCTAACCTTCTACTTTGCAGTTGTTGTTAAGAAATTATTAGCAACCTCAATCTCTTCTCCATCTATCACGGTGCTACCAATAGGCCCAGTGGTGAGAATCTTAGTTTAAGTTTCAATCCATATCAAAGACTACAGTCCTTGACCTTCTGCAGCAAGCACTTCAGGTCCTCCTCAGTTTCATCTGCATAATGCAGGTTGTTGATGAGTCTTTTTCCAATACTGATGCCACTTTCCTCCTTATAAAACATAGACTCCCAAATGATCTGTGCAGCATATAAAATGAAAAGGTATGGAGCCAGCATGCATCCCTGACATACGCCCTTCCAAAACCTGAACCATGCAGTGTTTCTTTGCTCTGTCCTGAGGACTGCTTCCTGGTCTAAGTTTTAAATGAGCATAATCCAGTGTTCTGGAATTCCCATTCTCCTCAAGGTTAGCCACACTTTGTTGTGGTCCACACTCTAAAATGTCTTTGCAGAGTGATAAACATTCTTCTGGTATTCTTTGCTTTCTGCCAACATCCATCTGACATTGGTGATAATGTCTCTAGTGCCACAAACTCTTCTAAAGCCAGCTTGTATTTCTGATAGTTTTCTGTTAATGAACTACTTTGGAGTAGGCTATCGTTTTTAATTTCTTTGTATGGTTTATGACCTCTTATTCAAAACAATACAGTAAAATATTGTAGTGTGTCATTTGTGAGTATGTGTATGGGTGTCTTAATTCACCCATACAGATGATGCTTTGTGAGAGATGGTGATTTCTTCAAGAAACTCTGAGGCAGAGACACTCTTCTCACTACTTCCTCCCCTAAACATAAGAGCTCTATTTCAAGCTAGACTTATGATTCAGTTTCTCGGGCAGCTAACAGTCATATCAGAACAGACATCTCTGATCAGAATAATCTGCTATATAATCTAGTAGGGAGTTCTGATGGCTTAGGGTAAAGAGTTGTACTGTCAGTACAAAGGCATGTGTTTCAAATCCACCAGTTCTACTCTATGGGAGAAAGAAGGACAATCTCATCCTATGTGATTTACAGTCTCTGAAAACTCACTAGAGATCAACTATGAGTTGGTTACAACTCAACAGTACATAACGACAAAAACAACACCAGATATATAGATTAAGATTCTTTGTGAACAAGAAAGTCATAGTCTACTCCTACTCCAATCACTAGGTTACTGTACCAGGAGAAGAAAGGGTAGAAGCAGCAGACAAATACATTTTCCTACAATTTAATACCACCTGTTTTTCTCATTTGTTTGTGTTTATATGTGCAATCTTCTACCTACTTTTTAGTGTTCCTATAGAGTTGAGATGACAAATTTCTAGTTGTTTTCTTTTGGGACTCATGTAAGAATATCAGGAAATTACATTTATTCATGTTTTCATCTCCGTTGTTTATCTTACCACTTTTGATGAGAATTTAAAGTAATAATGGTTCATTTGTTTTCAGTATTTGCTAACTGGAGTTGAACCATAAATCTACTGATATAATTTAGAAAGGAATTAGTAATCAAATTTATTTTCCACATCACAAAAAAAAAAGAGTTTCATGAAAACACAAAAATATTGTCACTGCTTGTTATTAATTTATTTTCTGTGCCTTTAAGGTTTCTATTAATTATCTAAGGTTCTTAAATAAGAAAATTAATAAATTTCTCAGTGAATGGCTATTATCTGCAGCTAAGTCCTTTCTCAAATTGCTGTCTAAAATCAAATTGCAATAATGATAAAGTTCTATCATGTGCTCTCTAATACATTAGTCAGTAACCACATGTGACTAATGAGCATTTGAAATATGGTTTCCAAAAGTGAGGAAATGTTAATTACATTTAAATTAATTAAAATTTAGATTTAAATAGACACATGTAGCTAAAGATTGCCATACTGGACAGAATAAGTTTAATTTATCTAAATTTATAACTATTTCTGTACTGAATAAACTTTAAAGATGAATTTATATAGACTGATGTGAAAATATAAAATAGAAATATTATGTACTTTGACATATTTGGTTATAAACATTATGTTCGCTGTTGTTATGTGCTATCGAGTTGCCTGCAACTCATAGCATACCTATGGACAACAGCTCTGAACCCTGCCCTGTCCTGAGCCAGTCTCACCTGCCACACCCCCCTGTCCAGTTACTGTATCATGTCATTTGATCCAGGGTCCTCTTCTCCTGCACTGTCCCTCTCCCCCTTTCAAGAACGATGTCCTTCTCCAAGGACTGGTCCCTCCTGCCCGATGTGCCAACAGTATGTCAGACAATTTTAAAATCCTTGCCTCCAAGGAGAAACTTCATTTCACACTCTCTAAGACAGAGGTATTTGCTTTCTCGTCAGTCCATGGTATGACTGAGACTCTTCTCCAGCACCACAACTCAAAGGCATAAATTCTTCTTCTGTCATCCTTAGTCATTGTCCAGCTCTCTGATGTATACATAGCAAGTAATTGCAAAGATCATGACCTGAATCAGGTGCACCTTAGTTTCTAGACTGGCATTACTGTTTCTCAGTACTTGGAGAGCTCGTTGGCAGCAGATTTTCCCAGAGTATTCTTATTTAAAGAATCAAACTTTCCAAATTTCTATAATGGCTAAATTAGTTTATAACTTGTTGTTTTTTTCCCCCATCTGTATTAGATATATTAGTTTTGTAATTTGAAAACAGATATTATTATGAGGACAATTATGGAAAGGCAATTCATATACTATTCATAGAGTCGCTATGAGTAGTGCTCAACTTGACGGCAATCAACAACAACAAGTATATAAACACACACATTTTTTATGTGTATTTTATCTATTTTTTTACCTCTATTTGGAAACCATAAGGATCTCCCCCATCCTTTGAGACAGGGAGGAGGTATCACCCTTGTATTTCATTAAAAAAACAAAAACGCATAAGTATGCATTTCACAAATGTTCCCAAATCTTTAAAAAATTTACCGATTCACTCGAGGATTAAATTTAGATTTAAAATTTAGAAGCATTCCATCTTACCTCTTCATAAATTTTATTATCATCTTCCTGTACTCTGTTATCTGTAAAAGACATGAGCATAATCAAAATCCATGTCAAGAATGTCATCACAAGATGTCACAGTGTGTTAAAAAGACAACTACATAGGATTCTTCTTTACAGAACATCAAGCACAACAATGATGGTCTAATTTTACTATAAAGTAAACCTATTTAGTTTATAGTACAAATAATAATGTTTCACAAACTTCATGGAATATAAGAAAGGTTTACTAGGTAAATGATAGACATGAAGTCAGTTATAAATTACATTACCCAGTTGCATGGCTTTAAGTGTTAGCACACAGCCAGAAAAATCCATTATACCTAGCAGCAGTTAGTAGTTACAAAGAAAGTAAACAGAAGCTTGTAGCCCAAACCACTTGAGAGTTAAGGACGCCTAGATTTAATTGACTTAGGTTATTTTACTGTGATGGTCATTTCTCTCTAAATAAATATCATATAGACAGTGCCTAATGGTGCATTATTCTTTGTACACTCCTCAGGCTGAGACAATAGCTTTGTAGGATAGCAAACGCATGCCAGTGCTCTTTAATATCCCCTCCTACTCCACAGAGTTGGTATTCTTGGTAATTAATAACTGACTGATTAACATATAACACTGTTAGGTGGAATTTCTGTATGTTTTAATTTCAGCATATTCATTAGTTAAACAGTTATTTCTACACTCCATGCAAGTCTTTGTCTCAATCCACAGAGAAAACAGGGTTGGATTCACCTTTGGCCTGAATTTTTGGTGGAGGGACAGCACAGGAGAGGAAGACCCTCGGTGAGATGGATTGATTCACTGACTGCGGTAATTGGGGTAGGTGTGTCAGAGATAATAAGCTTGGCACAGGATAGAGCAGGGTTTAGGGCTGTTATATATAGGGTGGCTATGAGTCATGGGTGACTTGATGGCACATGACAACAACAGCAACAACTACATGTAAAGGAGCTCTGGAGGCAAAATCTGAAGAGAGTCATGCTTCTAACTCAAAGTTGATGCTGTTCTGGTGGTTCGCCTCCTCCAGCTGCTCTGAGTGATAAAGATGGACAATCTCCTCCCCACACCCAGTGGTAAGTCAGCCATGAGTCAGTTCTGACTCGATGGCAATGAAAATCAGAAGAATTACATGTAAGTAGTCAGCAAAATGCTTTAATAGTAGTTTTGTGTGTGCCACTGAATCAGAACCGACCCACAGCTGACCCTTCAGTGGGTTTTCAGAGGTAGTTAATTGGGAGGAGATTGCCCATTCTTCTCCTACCAAATAATACTTTTTAGAGAATCAAAAAAGCAATTAGGCCATAAGAATGGTCCACCTTCAGAGAAGAATTACAGTTACCCTGAGAAGCCCCTCCCTCTGAGGTATGGTCTCTGCTTCTAGCCTGAGCAGCAGCACATGGTGTATGTGGGGCTTCAAGTAGACATTTGAATGAACCTTTCTCACATTGTTATTCAAATATTTGACAATATTCACTCTCACTATCCAAACAAAAACACTTTTCCTACTTTACCCCCTCTATATCTGAACCTCAACAGAGAGGAATTACACCTCCTTACAGAGAGCAATTTGCCTTTCAACATAATTGCTCTGGTAGGCTTAGCCTGTTAAGAAAGCTTTTAGAGGCAAAGTTCAAACAGATAAAAATCATTAATACAAATCCCCATCTCCCCAGCAGAAAGACTGCATTAAGGCTTTGGTAAGCCTGTAGCTCTCTTGAAAGCTCCATGGCCTCATCCCTTCCCCCCAAATGTCTACTACAAATGTAAATGATCCAAGACAGCTGCAAGTTTCACCTTGTAAACCATCTTCACCTTTCCTGTCATTTTCATAAAATGCAGCTTCAGCGCTGTCTGTCTCTTCCCTCATGTTTCCTTCAGCTTCTCTCCCCATGCCTTCCAGATCGGTGCCTCCACTTTGCATGGCATTAGCAATCACACTGGCCATCTCATCGATCTCCAGGAGGTCTAGGTTGTCTGTGCTGACCTGGTGTTTCCTCAGGTCCTTCAGGTGATTCTGAACAAAGGCTTCTAAAGTGCACATACAGAAACAAACACAAATAAATTATGCATTGAAATATCTTAAAGTATATTTGTATATCTACAAAATGATCATCAGAACAAATCTCAGGTGGGCCCACACATCCTCAGACCGCTTTCTCATCAATGTTGAACCTAGGGTTAGGGCTCAATAAATATTTTTGCATTTGTTGAATATGAATCATACAGAAAGTTCAATGCATTACCACAGTTCACACATATGCTCATTGCTACTGAGCTGAAATCAACTCACAGCTAAGCCTCTATTGGATTTCTGAGGCTGTAAAACAATTAGGATCAGATGTTTCTCCCTAGAGGACACCGGTCAATTCAAACCATCAGGGAGACATGGACTTTTGGTTAGCAGCACAATTCCTACAAAGTGTCTTTTTAAATTCAAAATAGAAGTAGAAATCCTACAAAGAACTAAGAGCAAATCTACCAATTCATTTAAGGGCAGAAAGTGATACCTTTTTCGTGAATGGGACTATATATATCCTACCAAATATGTGCTTATGTCTCACCTATAAACCAATCAATATAATCATATGTGAAAATAGAGTTTTGTTGCTACTATTATATTAAGAAGACCTTTTTATTTTACAGGTAGTTAGTGATCAGCTGCTAAGGTTGGCACGCTTGCTGCAGAAGATCTGGGACTGTCGTCTTCAATATGGCATAAAACTCAATGTTAAGAAGACAAAGATTCTCACCACTGGGCCAATTTGCAGACCATGATGGATGGAGAAGATATTGAGGTAGTTAACATTTACAGAATGTTTAGCTCCACAATCAACACTTTTGGTACCAGTAGTGAGGAAATCAAAAGATGAATTGCATTGGATAAATCTACTGTCAGGGACCTTTCCAGAGTGCTGAGGAGCAACGATGTAAGTCTAGAGACTAAAGTGCACCTGATCTAGTTCATGATCTTCACAATTACTTGCCAAGCATCAGAGAGCTGGATAATGACTAAGGAGGATAGAGGAATTGATGCCTTTGAGTTGTGGTGCTGGAGAAAAGTCTTGAACGTACCATGGACTGCCAAGAAAACAAATCTGTCTTGGAGAGGGTGAAACCAAGTTTCTCCTTGGAGGATAGGATTTTGAAGCCCCATCTTACATTCTTTGGGTACATGGCAAGGAGCAATTGATGTTTGAAGAAGGACATCATGCTCAGAAGGGTGGAGGGACAGTGCAGGAGAGGAATACCTCGGATGAGATGGATTGACACAGTAACTAGAGGAATGGGAGTTGGTGTGTCCGAATTAGTGAGACTGCCTCAGAACAGGGAAGGCTCCAAAGCTATTGTATATAGGGTTGCTATGAGATGCAGGTGACTTGATGACACGTGACAACAACAACGGTCAAGAAAACCTTATAGAGCATTTTTACTTTAGAACACCTGGGTTCATTAAGAGTCAGAATAGACTCAACAGTAATTGGCCATGGTTTTTAAACTTTCAATGTTACTGAGATCAGAGCAGAATAAAATACACCTAACTGTGTACTGGAGAGGGTGTGCAGGCTGCTTCTTGGGGGCAAGGATTCTGAAGCTTCATCTGACATACTTTGCAAGGAGGGACCAGTCCTTGGAGAGGGACATCATGCTTGGGAGGGTGGAGGGACAGCACAGGATGAGATGAGGTGGATTGATTCAGTGACTGGAGTAACGAGGGTAAGTGTGTTGGAGACAGTGAGACTGGCACAGGATAGAGCAGGGTTTAGGGCTGTTGTATATAGAGTCGCTATGAGTCACAGGTGACTTGACGGCACATAACTACAACCGCAATAACTGTCTAACTAGTGTCTTATTGAAAGAGCAGAGCAGAGAAGAGCACAGCTTGCAAGTGGAAGACAGATGCAAAAAATGCCATTGAACATGGAGAAACTCCTGGGGCAGCTGACAAGGAAGCATGCTTCCCTGGAGCTGAGGCCTGGACTGAAATCGTCTCAAATTGCGAGACAATAATCTTCTGTTCCTTAAAGTTACAGATATAAGGTAATGGCAACCCTAAGCAACTAAGATTTTGTTGTGCTTGTGTACCATCGGGCCAGGATGAACTCATAGCTGACTCCGACAGGTTTCAGAGGGAGTTAAATGTACGAGAGAAGAATGGCCATCTTTCTCCCACGGAGCAGCTGGTGAACTTGAACTAAGTGTCTTTGGGATTGCAGTGCACCTTTTTGCCACTAGTCCACCAGAGTTCTCTAATAACAGAAATAACTAAAATATGAGAATAATTCATTTCATTATAGTCTTTCAGCTAAAAAGAAATAATAAGCTATGGTTATGTCACTTTAGAAAAAACAGATATAATGTATTTCAAAGACTGGCATTACTGTTGTTAGATGCCATTGGGTTCTGACTCATAGAGACACTCCACATAATAGAATGAACATTCCCTGGTCTTTCATTGTCTTTACAATTTGTTGTTCTTGAGCTCATAGTAGCAGTCACTTTGTCAATTCACTTACATGATGGTCCTCCTCTTTTTTGGTTGACCTTCTGTTTTACCAAGCATGATGTCCTTCTCCAGAAACTGGTCCTTCTTGATAACTTGTCTACCGTATAGAAGCCAGAGTACTTAAAATGTCATGACTGACAATAATTCTACCAAAGTTGATGGTTATTTCCTGTAATAATCTTCTTCTTGTTATTATGTGCCATAGAGTCAACTATGACTCATTGCAACCCTAGCATAATTGCTCTGAACTCTGCTCTATTCCAAGCCAGTCCTACTGTCTCCAACACACCTATCCCACTATCCCAGTTATTGTACAAATCCATCTAATCCAGGGTCTTCCTCTCTTGCACTGTCCCTCCACTCTCTTAAGCATGAGATTGTTCTCTAGCGACTGGTCCTTCCTGGCAACATGCCCAAAGACATGAGCCAGAGCCTCAAAATCCTTGCCTCCAAGGAACAGCCTGGTTTCACCTTTTCAAAACTTATCTATTCATTCTCTTGGCAGTCCAATGTTCAATGCTCTTCTCCAGCACCACAACTCAAAGGCATCAATTATTCTTCTGTCATTTTTGCCCATTGCTCAGCTGTCTGATACTTAGTGAGTAATTGTGAAGACCATGGCTTCTAGACTGACATTGTTGCTCTTCAGCACTCTGGAGTGGTCCTTGAAAGCAGATTTTCCTAATGTAGTCAATCTTTTCATTTCTTGATGGCTGGTGCCCAGAGTCTTGACTATATAACCTAGCAAGCTGAAATTGTTAGCAATCTCAATCTCTTCTCCATCTGTCATGGCATTACCAATTGGTCTAGTGGTGAGAATTTTCACTTTCTTGGTGTTGAGCCTCAATCCATATTGAAGACTACAGTCCTTGACCCTGTTCTTTTCTGTGCTGTTCCATGTCCTCCTCAGTTTCAGCAGAGCCAGAAGATTAACAAAGCTATCTTGGAGGAAGTGCAAAATGGGTGCTCCTTATAGGCAAGGAGGGAAAACATCATCTCATACACTTTGAATATGTTGTCAGGAGATGTCAATCATTGAAAAAAGATATCATGCTGGGGAAAGTAGAAGGTCAGTGAAAGAGAGTAAGACCTTCAATTAGGGTCAGTACACAGTGACCACAGCAGTAAGCTTGATTGAGCATGGCAGAAATGATGAGGATGATACAGGATGAGGCAAGGGTCATCAGGCTGTGTGAGGTGTAGTCCAATTGAACTACGTCTAACAACAACAGTAGGGAAAGCCTCTTACACTTATTGGTCATAATACACAATGTACTTTTCCTTACACAATGTAAATTGCTCCAATTTATGCATGTATTGTGTCCAAGAGTTTATGTGTAAGCCAACATAGAAGGTATTTACTTCCCCGTGGAAATAACATTACACTTGCTTTACAGCTTAAAGCAGTACATTTGATTTGCAGGAAAAGCCACCTAACTGCATTTTGACCTTTGTCATAAATTCAGATACATCATGCTTTTCTCTGAGCTTTCAGACCATTAAAGAAGCCACAAATAATCTCCACCCTCAGGAAGTATTCACACAAAGCTCCTACATTTGCTCAGGTCTACTCTCCATAGAACCATAAAGACTATGAATATAGGGCCATTTCCATTTATATAGAGGCATTCCTCCTCCGCTCCTAATCAACATCTTTCCCTGTACCAAGGACATAAGCCCTCCTATCTCAGATTATCCTGTATTAATAAATACTTTCCTAAAGGTTTCAAATCTTGTTTAAAACGCCAGGTGCCATCACTGCTAGAATCAGAATCTTAGGTATCTATTAGGACCTTCCTGACCAGTGGTGATTTTCCTCAAAGACTTTCATAAACAATCTTTATGATTCCATACTTTTCAGCAATTCCTGGAAAGGCAAAGCTTTAGCTGATAGTGGGTTGTGTGTGCACCTGCACACGTGTGTGTATGAGAGACGGGGTTGGGGGGAGAGACAGACAGACTGCTAAGTTTGTAACAACCTTTGGCCTCTGGCAGAAATTTTCCAATCACAAACTCTCCATTTCCCCTCTCTTATCCTCTACACACAGTGTGATTAATAAAAAGAATTTTCTTTACTCTGTAACTATGATGGTATTTTACCCCTGAGGCAGAATGCAATACAAGGCCAGTTTATTGAACTATGGCCTGCTGTTGACCCCATAGATTATGGAAATTCTAGTTGCTCAGGGATAAAGAGACTTCAGACGGGTTGACCAGGGATAAAGGACTTCGGAAGGGTGCTCAGTCCCTCTTTCAGTAGCAGAACTAAGGATTGGGACTTTACCACCGCAATTGCAAGGGTGACAGCCCCTCTGCTAGGGGCCACATGAATCCAGAGCTGGGAAGATACACTGGGGGGTGGGAGCTGGGTCTGTCTACAGCTCCTGGAGTTTCCAGCTGTTAACAATGCAAAATGCACACACAGTAAGAACATCAAAGAAAGCATAAGATGTTTTTCTTTTTCAAAGAGTCTCTTGAAATGTAAGTTCTACCATCTGGACAACGGGTGCAACATGCAACAATG